TTCGCAGCATTCAATAAACTGAATGAATCAAAATAGTGTTACTAAATATACAATAAAGTACCAGGTCTAATTTCATTATGAACATTGCATGGTCATTGGCGACTACTGTATGTTCACATTGAACAGCAGCCGAGAGAGGATTGAGTCTCCTGGGTCTGGAACTTGAGCAAATCTATCCTAGCACCGCACCCTGATGGTGGTGGTGGCAGACGTGCCAGAAGTCTGGCTCACTAAAGTGCAATAGAGCGTCCTCGCATCGCTGTTATCTGATGCGGGTTTTCGATCTTCTGCAGCTTTCTCCTAGAGTTTGCTGTTCTCGTGTTCTACGCACCGCGTGGTCTAATGACGCAGGATCCTGAAGTTTAGCTATTCACACATGACAAGTAGTCAGTGGCCAAAATCAATCAGTCGACACCTTTTACGGGAAATCGACTTTTGACCGTGACAGCGACTTCTGCGGCCTCGCGCCGCCCGGGGAGGCACGCTGAGGCGTATACATTATTTCCAACCAACTGTCTTTTACCAAATAAGTCCTCATAAGCGTCGTTAGCCCTCTGTGTCTGATGGGGTAACCTGTTGGAAGACAGTAAGACAGAAGTACGTGTTAATGAGAGGATCATTGAGACGCATATCCGTGTATTTCAGACAATAGGTAGTCTGAGCCCTACAACAGCCCCCCCCGCTCATGGTGGTAAGCTGTTATCGATTGACTGTTCAGTTTGACTGTTTTAATTCAGCCTCCTCCTGTTCGCAGCAGGCATTTAGACACACAGGAATATTAGCTTCCGTTCAGCTTTTCTCACCCCCTCAACCCCTGCCCCTCTCTTTGTGTTTTGTCAGGAGCTCGAGGAGGCCAAAAAAGCTGAACTGAATAGAGAATTCGTCAACTTCATCAATGCCAAGAAGAAGGCAGTTGGGAGGCTACAGGAGCAGCATGAGCGAGATCTGGAAGCGGCCATGAAGAAAGCGGCCGAGGATGAGGCCAAGCATTTGCGTCAGCTGGAGGCCGACGTTAAGGCTCAACTGAAGATGCGGCGTAAATCCTACAATCGGCCCAAGAGTATGGCTGGCTTCTCGGGCTCGGGCTCGCCCTACAACGATCCTCATGGCAGTAACCAGCCCGAGTTGGACCAGCTGTATAAGCGTTTGCAGAGTGACAGCACCAAACAGTTCCAACTATGGCGGTACGGCGGCCTTTGCAGGCGTCATGATCTTCAGGTGCGTATGTTGTCCACGTCCTTTATTATTATTATTATTATTATTATTATTATTATTAATCCTTGATGCTCGCATCG